CCCCTGGGAACTTTCGCGCAGGAGGTGTGATCACCCTTTTGCCGAACTTTGTGCCTTCGAGTGTCCGTGAGTCGCTCGCGGGCGCCCAGCTCCCCCTCGTCTCCTCCGCCCCGATCCTTTCTGGAGGGCTCTTTTGACCAGCGTCTCGGCGGCCGGCGGTTCCTGTGGGGTGAAGCGCTCTGACATTCGCAGCCACGGTCTCTCGTGCGCGGAGCTGTCGCTGCTCCTCCGTTCGATCAAGAACGAGGTGACCCTCGCCGGGGCTGGCCCTCTTCGGCATTTCGTTCTCTTAGGGGATGCCAGCCTTCCTCCGTATGAGAGCCTATGCCTTACGACCCTGGTCTCCTGGATCCTGGTACCCTGTCTGACCCCTCCCCCGTGCCCCTTCGCCCCCCTGGCGCGATGCGTCTTCTGGGGCGGTCGAATGTGGACTTCTTTCCTCCATCTGCTCTTCGTCTGCGAATAGCACCTTCGGGTCTGTCGATCGGGTGTTCTCCTCGTTGCTTGGCTGGATTCTCTGGCAATGCTCCTCTGGTGGGGCTGTTCGCGTGCGCCCCGAAGTTTTGGGCGCTCAGGCTTTGTTTGACCGCGCCCCGTGGAGGTGCGCATCTGTGTGCGACCCCCCACCCCGAGGCAGGATCGACCGATCCCGAAGACCATCTTTGAGTTTTCTGAGCTCAGAGATTTTCTGGACCAGGCGATTGTTGCCGGCCCGCTGGAAGAGCTTTTGCCTGTTCTGGCGCACGATCATGGTAAATTCTTAATGTTCGACGCGATTCGTCGCGCCAGGGGTCTCATTATCTGAGAACGGCCCCGGGCCTGCACTGCCGGACATCTCACGGCGAGGGCCGTGGTCAGAGCCGTCTGCCGCCAGGACTGGAAGCTGGCGTGCATGATTTTTCGTCTTCGCGAGCCCCGTCGCCTTCGCCAACCTCTTCGACTCCTCTTGCCATCGCCTCGCCGAGTCCACCGCTCGCTAGTGCACGGCGTCTGCAGAGCCCGAACGCGATCGTTCGCGTGGCCGCTCGCTTCCGATGGGCCGCCCGCCTGCGCGACTCTAGTCACCACTTGACCGCATGGTGGCGCTCGCTGGTGTTCGTCTCGATTGTGGTACAGTGTCGTTTTCAATACATGCTCCGCGTGCGGATCATGTTTTAAAAATGCAGGGATGTATGGTTGAAAACAACGATGAGTTCGTGCATGAATTTACTCATAAACTAATCATGTATTAAAATCCTATCTTTTTGAAAACACCTATGTATTAAAAACTGCCCTGTAAGGTCGTCCAGACCCCGTCGGCGCTCGTGCGATCGCCCCTCTGTCACTGGGCGCCCGCCTATTTTAGTTGAAGACTTCGCGCGCCAGGAGGCCGGAGCAGTCCTCGACCAGCACCCTCCCGCTCTCAATGGCTCCGATGTCACCCCCTCGGCCTGCGTTTTCCTCCAGAACCAAGCCGGAAGCTCCCCTGGCCCAGACAGACTTCCTCACGGTGCTTCGCAGCACGCCCCACATGGGCCGACGCTCTTTTTCGCTCCGTGAGGTGGGTCCACAGAGGCAGTCGCTGATCCTTGAGAATATAGGATGCTGCGACGTGATTTTATTATCTTGCACAGGGTGCTTAGAACTCGGACAACGTTATTTCGCGTCGCACCGCGCCCCCTCCTGCCCTGCCCCTCTCCTACCCTTCCCCAGCGTGCCCCAGCGGCCCAGTGGAGCCTTCGCCCAGTGCCCCTCCGCCCCTATTACTTCATTCCGCGTCGCGCCGCGCCCGCCACCCTCCCCCGCCACCCTCCCACCCCTCCCCGGCCCGCTCCCTGTTCGCCCCGCCACCCTCCTACCCCTCCCTGGCGTTCCTCAGTGGCCCGGCGGACCTTTTGCCAAGTGCCCCCTCCGCCCCGACCATTTTATTCCACGTCGCGCCGCGCCCCGCCTCTTGCCCCCCTCCCACCTCTCCCCAGCCCCAGTTCAGTGGAACATCCGCCCAGTGCCACCACCGCCCCGACCATTTTACTCCGCGTCGCCCCTCATCCTCCTCCCAGCGTTTCCTGGAGGCCCAATCGAACACATCTCCTAGGCGCCAGTGCGCTGCCAACGGGGGCTCGAGGTCTTCAAGCGACTGGCCAATGCGGCCTCCCTCGGCTGCCCCAGCTCGCGGCGGCGCTCCCGACGAAGCCGCCGTGCACCCGGCTGGGTCGGCTCCCGCCGCGGTCCTCTCCACGCACAAGAGATGGGCGCGGGGGCCCTCCCGCAAGGGGGGAGCTCCGCAGCACGCAGCGACGGAGGCTTGCTGTAAGGAGGGGGAGGAGGAGGAGGAGGAGGAGGAGGAGGAGGAGGAGGAGGAGGAGGAGGAGGAGGAGGAGGAGGAGGAGGAGGAGGAGGAGGGAGGAGGAGGAGGAGGAGGAGGAGGAGGAGGAGGCGGAGGAGGAGGAGGAGGAGGAGGAGGAGGAGGGGCAAGAGGGGGGAAGAGGGAGGAAGGCGGGAGGAGGAGGAGGAGGAGGAGGAGGAGGAGGAGGAGGAGGAGGAGGAGGAGGAGGGCAGAGTTGGGAGGAGGAGGAGGGAGGAGGATGGAGGAGGTGGGAGGAGGGCGTAGGAAGGAGAAGACGGCAGGAAGGAAGGTGGGAGGAGCAAGAGGCAGGAGAGAGCGCGGTTTTGGAGAAGAGGGAGGATGGGGAGGGGGGGGAGGAGAGGGTCCAGATTAATCCCCAGATGCATCAGTCATCCCGCAGGGCACCCTTCCGTGCCGAACCCCCGCCTCGAAGCCACTACGGGTATTCTCATCCACTGCGGGAAGGGGCTCCCTTGGAAGATCCACC